TTTGGGGCACGCATAGATTATGCTAAAATGTGACCAGGATGCTCAGCATTTTCAGCATTACACTATGTCATGCTGTAAACAGGATTATGTTCTTGATCCTCTGGTCCGGCCTGACTATGCTTAGTTCATCATTTGAGTGAATTTTCAGGAAAGAAAGGGCAGAGATAGACTAATTCTTATAGTTCCTCAAAGAGTTGGTTTGCTATGTCCATTATGTTTGCTCTACATTTGCCATTACCATATGCTTTCTTCTATTACACTCCTGTAGACTGCACCACCTCTTTCAATGCTGTATGTTTTCATCCTTTTTAGAACAAGTCTATCACTATTTGCAGTTTTTCTATTGCTTCATCTATTGCAAGACTCATGTTATTAACAAGGAATCTGCCCGAACTTTTTTTCTGCCATTCATGCTATTGAGAATAGATTTACAATGGGAATCCTCACCATTGCAACACTGAGACAGTAAATGCAAGTATCTGGTGGTGTGCTTGTGGTTGGGAGCATTAAAAACAACCTCTCCCACGCGAGACTGACTTACATCTTGTAGTATCTTCTGTGTGAGCTTTATGGAGCTTGTGTCTGGCCAGAATGCACTTCATTAGTCTCTTAAAAACCAGCATGCAAAATTTAGGGACTCTGCAAGGTTCCAAATGTATAAACCCTTTTTAATTACAAACAGTTCTACCACCCACTTTCCCCACAGTTAGTCAAGGGAACCAGTTTTCGTTGAGGTCAACAGAAAAAATAACCATGAAGTTTCTGGCTCATGCTGGTTTTATATATGCTGAAAGAAGGGGGGAAAGAAAAAGAAAATTTAAGCTCTCATATTTTAGCCTTTATATCACTAAAACGATGTGCTGATTTTATCTGAAATCATTCAAGGAAAAAAAAAATATTTTTTCCTCCTTCTGAAATGAGTTACACAGAAGTTGGGAGGAGGATTAATGGAAAGGGACAAAGTCAATCTTGCCATGAAAAAAACAGTTTGTCCCTAACTATGGGGACCCTAACAGCTTTCTACAGTTAATTTTTAGTTTGCATGTTGCAAGCAAAAAAAAAAAAAATAGAATATAATTTACTTGAAAAAGGCCAAACATTTTTCTAATCGTACTACACATTCAGGTTTTTACTGCCAGAAAACACAGGCCATACTTTCTCTTTCAAACACTGTGATAAGACAACAAGTAGGCCCATGTTTCTTTCCTTCGCAATGATGACATGGCCATTTGCTACTTTAAACCTCATTGAAATACGTGCAGTTCCAATGGGGCATAAGAGGTTGCAGAGACAGGGAGGGAAACGGGAGAACCCTACGGTAGGACTGAGACCTAGGCTTGCAGTCCATCCTTACTAGAGAAGCAGAAAATAAATCATTTAGAAAAAAAAAAATCAGAAGTAGGAACTATTTACCTTGTTGTTTGAATAACGTGCGTTCCACTGCGTGCCACGGAAAAGCCGACGCTTTTTCAGTAGTGACACGGCAGGTTTCTTACCAGCTTTTAGAATTTTTCTCCTGGTATTACTGGTATGCTTTACAGATACAGAGCCCTACTAATCTTTGGACTTGTGAGAGTTTAACACATATTTTTATATCTCAAAAGGTATATGATAATAGCTAGTACCCCATTTTATACTGAAGGAAAAGTTGCTAAAAGGCTGTGTCTGAGGTCACAGAGCAAGTCAGCATCAAATCCTGAGACAGAACGCAAGAGTCTCAGCTCTCGGTCTTCACTTCCTACTGAAAATACTGGGGGGGAAAGTAAAATTCTCAAGATCGATTTTTTTATGTAATCATTTTCTAGCCTGTCTCCCAAACCTTTATGCTTATGTTTGTATCGGGGACTATAAACGCTAAAAACCAGTGCATGGTGCTGAAATATTAAATGTGTTTGACTAATTTCGGGACACAGAGGTTCTTCTTTTATCTGGGCCTTAAATCAATGGGGCAGGGACACAGTAGTGAAACGAACCATAGTAGTCCATAGTCTGACTATGAATGCTGCAGTTACAGAACTCATTACCACATGCCTACTTAACAGACCAAATAACCTGCAAATCCAGAGTTACTATTTGTCATACTTAAGAAAAAGCAAAGAATAGCTGGGCAAACAGTCAATTTACAACCAAAGCGAAAGTAAAGCGCTGCCAAGAGACACTGGAGCTTATCTTGCCCCTACTGAAATGAATGGAAATTTGGGCAAAACCTTCTCTAGCATTAAGCTTACTTAAGTTCACACATTTTGGCTCAATGCACATTTTCACGAATGAATAAAAAACTTTGGGAAGGTAGATTTTGGAAAGAGCATATTGGCAAGTCCTTAACCATAGTAATAATTGCTGACATTGCTCTAGTCGCTCTGACTAAAAATACCCAATACAATAACAAACCCAGTGAACCCATTCATTTATTCTCGTTTCACAAAGGCTATTTACATGTTTAGAGAAGCTGAAAATAAATTCTGTATTCGTTGTATTTACAGCACATTCCAGCCCAACAAACTGGCATCGAAACTATTTATTTAGGGAACATCATCCAGGTTAGAATCTTTCAAATTTGACAATTATTTTTCATCTTGAGCATACGATGCTTGCAACAGGAGCATGCTGGGCCCATGTTTAATAAATCTAACAGTAAACAAATTCAGTGCTCTTTAAAACATTACCTTTTTGTCCAAAAGCAATCTAATTATGGCTGGGGGGGTAACATAATTTTAATGAAAAAAATAAACAATCAAAATTGCAGCAAACGTAGCCGTACTAATGAAAATCCTATTTTATAAAGTGGATCCAAAGGTGTTTGTGAAGACATAATTCGCAGTGCAAGCACATTTTTTCACTAACCTCCTACAATTCTCTAACATCTTAAAATATGACCCATTTTGCAACCAGTGCTAAAATTCCGAGAAGTTCAGAAATAAAACCCGAGGAAAGCTGAGCAGCAGGGTTGCTCTCCATTTCAGCCAAATCCATGCCAAAGTTCCAGATTATATATATCATAACATAAATTACTATTTCTGAAAAATCCCATCCAGCTTTTATGCAGGTCCATAAACATTACTGGTACTTTTATTAATTTGTCCATAACCATTTAAATAAAATTCTAGTGCTCTGAGCTATGATCTGTTCCAGGCTGTAGTAAGTTTCTGTTAAATGTGTAAATGTTCAGCAGAAAGATATTTTTGCACGGAGACTGAAAATCAGCTGTGCCAGATACCTGAAATTTTGTTAGGGCATTCAGTGGAAAGTTTTATTTCGACGTTATAAATAACCATGGACTATTTTAAGTGACCTTACACTGGTAGCTTCCAATAACTTACTTCAGTTTATCCTAATTAACTTTTTATTTTATTTTAGTAGGAAGAGAGGCGACTGTAAAACTTTTAGTGTGACTAAAAGTGGAAATGTATCTTCTTGTTTGAAATAAAATAAATCATGATTGTCAGGCTTATATAGTATTTGGATGTAAGACAACCTCTTGCCTTCTTTCTAGCACCTTTGGAACGGCTCTACTGGAATGTATTTCCCCTCTAGCTAAAGGCGGGGGTGGGGGGTTGGAGCCAAGAGAACCTATGGTCATAAACAATTTACCAAAATAATTATGAAAACATATATTTGCTGTATTGCGACTATAGCAAACCAGAGCTTCTGAATATACTAGTCCTTATAGGTGACGAGTAATTGTCCTTTGGAAATGCCTGCGGCCACTTCTGGGGAAAAGCAGATCCCTGCGGTTGTCGGAGAAGCGGGGCGAGCTCAGGAGGGGTTTGCGGTGTTATCCACAGCGATTGCATTTTCACAACGGGACAGAAAACTTCCACAGTCCCTCCAACACCGGACGAGGAAAAGAAAAAGAAAAAAAGAAAAAAAAAGAAAAAGGAAAGGAAAGGAAAGGAAAGGAAAGGAAAGGAAAGGAAAGGAAAGGAAAGGAAAA